TGCCCGAGGGTCTGTGTGCAGAGCATCTGGAACCCGAGCCTTAGTGCACGGGGCTGCCAGTGCCATCAGCTCCCTTTACTTTGCAACAGAAGAGAAATCCCCCAGGAGAGAAGAGTCCGACGAAGAGGAGAAGCGGTCCGAGAGGTCACCCAGCAGCCATCCCCAGAGGATGCCCGCGTTTCCGGGCATCGACCCAGCCATGCTCAAGGTATGGCACCTCGCACCCGGAGCCACTCACGGCTCTGGTAGCAAAAAGAACAGAAAGAGCAGGCCCCATAATTCTCCCTCCATCCCTCCCTTCCTCCTTTTATCCCTCCCCCCTCCCTCCCTCCTTTCCATTGTCCTCCAAATATGGGGGAGAATCCACCTGCCTTCTTCCTGTGGGAATCCGTCAGTCCAAAAACTTCCTCTTATTCAAATGGATGCAGGAGCATGGAGCTGACAGAGCTGACCTGCAGAATGGGTTGGTGGCCCCACCTCAGGGCTGCAGGCCTGGCCACCGATTTTCTTACCCCCCACCCCCACCCCAGGTCAGCCAGCATCTCCCCTGCCCCGGGGCTTCCTGCCTGTGGAGGCCCCAGCATCACCGTGCAGTGGCAGTGCCGTGGGATGGGACTCTCTCTGGGCAACAGGTGGTTACAGACTCAGGTCTCTCCTCTCCCAGGCGCAGCTGCACAAGAGGCCAGAGGCGGACAGTCCCAGCGAGGCCCCTGGCTGGGCCCCCCAGCCCAAGACCCCCAAACCCCCCTTCCAGCTGGGCAGTCGTGTGCTGCCCACCAGCCTTGAGAAGGATGAGAGGTGAGGGGTCTTGGGGGTGAGTGCCCTGCCCCCCTTGGGGGTATAATTTGGGGGAGGTTGCCTGTTGGGTTTTAGAGCTGAATGACTGAGGATGAAAGGAGGAAGTGTGGGCACTACTTGTAGACATGCTCAATAAAGGACAGTGGAGTTCTTCTTAGGGGTCCTGTTAACACAGAGAAGCTAGGGGTTATTCATGATGCTGACATTGTCATACAATAAGTGCTATGATAGAGCAGGGGCTCTCAAACTATAGGCCACAGGTCCATTTCAACTCATTGTCTTTTTGTTTAAATAAAGTTTTATTGGCACACAGCCACACCCGTTCATTTATGGGTTGTCTGCTGCTGCTTTCCTGATGCAGCTGCAGAGCTGACGGGTTGTAACAAACACCCTATAACCCCCCAAGTATATTTACAGTCTGATTCTTGATTTGACCCTGTCATAGACAACAAACTGGTGAACTAGACTTAAGGAAGAAAGGTGTGGGGAAAGTTTCTAAGAGGAGACACCTGAGCTGAGTCATGGTGTCCACAGAGGTGGCAGCATGAGGGGTTCTGTGCTGAAGGTGTTCTGTGCCCAGGCCAGGTCTCAGAGGTACCACTGGAGGCCTGGTCTTGTGCCTCCACCATCAGACAAGGCTTCCTTGGTCTGCCCAGGGCGGTTCTCCTTCCTCACAGACCTCCCACCCCCACCCCAGGCAGGTCAGAAACTTCCCTGAGCCCTCCAGGCTGAGCCCTCCAGGACCACATGGTCAGTCACAGCTTTCTCTGAGATCAGCATAAGTCAGGTCTTATATGTACGAGACAGACAGACAGATAGATAAATAGATGGATGTATATGAAGGAATTGTCTCATGATTTTGGAGCCTGACAAGACCACAATGTGCAGAGCAGGCTGGCAGGCTGAGACCCAGGGAAGATCTGATGTGGAGTCCCAGAGTCAATCTGTTGGCAGAATTCCCTCTTCCTCGGGGAAGGTCAGTCCTTTTCGGTTAAGATCTTCAACTGATTGGGTAAGGCCCACCCATAATATGGAGGGTAAATGCTAATCTCATCTAAAAGAAATAGCTTCACAGACACACCTGGAGCGATGTCTGACCATACATTTGGGTGCCATAGCCTAGCCAAGTTGACACATAAAATGAACCACCATGGAATTTACCTGGGTAGAGAGATGGCAGGATAAATGGATGGAAATAATTTTATATAAACATTACGGTATAGCTGCAGATTATTTCATAGAGTGGATGTACCAGGGTTTATTTAACATTCCCATTGTTGGGTGCTTTGGTTAATTGCTGTTTCTTGGCTGTCAATCATGTGAGCATGGGCATGTTTGCGGTCTGTGAGTGCCCTGCTCAGTGTCCACCTTGGACAGCAGATGGAATGTTGGGTACCTCACAGCCCTGCCTGCAAGGTGCCCTCGTTCTGCTCACACTCCCCGTCTGCTTGACGCTCCCCGTCTTTGTGGTTTTAGATCAGAAGAGACCTCACCCCAGTGGCTGAAGGATCTGAAATCTAAGAAGAGGCAAAGCCTGTATGAGAATCAAGCTTGACCAGGTAGGAAGGGCTCTGGTGGGGAGACCTGGACAGAGCCTGCAACTCAAGGGATAGGGAACGTGGGTGGTGAGGAGGCATAGGTTCAGAGATCTGGGATGTTGTACCCTAGGAGGAAGAAGGAAAACTGTGGGTGTGGGTGTTGTGGGTCCTGTAAAGGGTGTGGCAGTGCCTGCTTCCTCTTAGGGGTCAGTCACAGCTGGACCCCCTGGAGTGGCAGGGCTAACCCAGCCTCTGGCTGGCCCTTCTCCTGTGTCTCCACCACCTTTTATAACATGAGAGAGCAGGACATCGGAGATCAGCTTAATCTGAAAGGTTCCCAATCTACATTTATATACTGCCTGTATAATTAAAAATTAATTTGGAAAAAAAAAGATTAAAAAAAACAACATGATTCCATATGGCCTGGTATAGGTCCCGAACGGCTGAACACCTTGGACTTCAGTTTCCCCGTCTGTAAAATGGGCTGAGCACCAGGTTGCCGAGTGGTCCAGGAACTCCCTGCGATTGCACCTCCAGTGCCTCCTGTGCATCCTCAGGATGGGAGCACACAGTCCACGCCCAGAAAAGCTGCTCTGAGAGGCACAGCACAGCAGACCTCTGCCTGCCTCTCT